CTCAGGAATACTTCCAGAAAGCATTGTCAGTGAACACAATCCACCGTGCCATCCGCCGTTGCCAGCTGAAACTCTACAGTGCAAAGAGGAAGCCATTCTAAGCAAGCTCCACAAGCTCAGACGTTTGCACTGGGCCAGGGGTCATTTAAAATGGAGTGTGGCAAAATGGAAGACTGTTCTGTGGTCAGATGAGTCACGATTTGAAGTTCTTTATGGAACACTGGGACGCCATGTCATCCGGACCAGAGAGGACAAGGATAGCCCAAGTTGTTCTCAACGCTCCGTTCAGAAGCCTGCATCACTTATGGTATGGGGTTGCATGAGCGCTTGTGGCATGGGCAGCTTGCATGTCTGGAAAGGCACCATTAATGCAGAGAACTATGTTCAGGTTCTAGAACAACATATGCTCCCATCTAGACGTCATCTCTTTCAGGGAAGACCCTGCATTTTTCAACACGATAATGCCAGACCACATTCTGTAGCAATCACAACATCATGGCTACGTAGGAGAAGGATCCGAGTACTGAAATGGCCAGCCTGCAGTCCAGATCTTTCACCTATAGAGAACATTTGGTGCATCATAAAGGGGAAGGTGCGACAAAGAAGGCCCAAGACGATTGAACAGTTAGAGGCCTGTATTAGACATGAATGGGAGAGCATTCCTATTTCTAAACTGGAGAAACTGGTCTCCTCTGTCCCCAGACGTCTGTTGAGTGTTGTAAGAAGAAGGGGGGATGCCACACAGTGGTAAAAATGGACTTGTATCAACTTTTCTCCTCTCTCCACAGAGGAACGCTGGGGTTCTGCCAGCGTTACCATCGGCTTCTTGGTCATCTCCCTGACTAAGGCCCTTCTCCCTGATCCCTCAGTTTAAATGGACGGCCAGCTCTAGGAAGAGTCCTGGTGGTTCCAAGCATCTTCCATTTATGAATGATGGACGTCATTGGGCTCAATTGGGACCGACAAAGCAGCAGAAACTTTTCTGAATCATTCTCCAGATTTGTGCCTCAACACAATCCTGTCTCAGAGGTCTACAGACAGTTCCTTTGACTTCATGCTTGGTGTTTGTGCTCTGACATGCACTGTCAGCTGTGGGACCTTATAAACACAAGTGTGTGCCTTTCCAAGGGTCATTGTCATGCTGGAAGACACAGCCATGACCCATCTTCAATGCTCTTAGCATTGAGCCCTAGACCAAGGAAGATTGAGTCATCTTGTGTTTCTTCCATTTTGTAATTATTGCTCCAGCAGTTGTTGTTGTCTCACCAAGCTGCTTGCCTCTTATCCTGTTGCCCATGCCAGCCTTGTGCAGGTCTACAGTTTTATCCCTGGTGTCCTTAAATAGCTCTTTGGTCTTGGCCATGGTGGAGGGGTAGGAGTGTGACTGATCAAGTGTAAATGGAATGGTAAATGGACTATAGCACTTTTCTATCTTGTCAAGATACTCAAAAGCGCTTAACACTACCAACTGCGTCTTCATTTACCCATTCATACAGCACTACTAGATCTGTACAAAGACTAATCAGAGCTTTGTCACATTCATTCACCAATGGGACACACATTGGAGGCAATGAGGGGTTCAGTGTCTTGCCCAAGTAGGTATCGCTGCAGGCAAATTTGGAAGGCGTATCTGGGGGGCCACATCTGATTGGATGAGGCGTATCTGGAAGGTCATATCTTATTGGACTATAGAAAAATGGGCATGTCTGGGGGGCCACATCTGATTGGACGATAGAAAAATGGGTGTGTCTGGCCGGCCACATTTAATGAGACGATAGAAAAAAAGTCTGAACAATAAAAAGCCGTTTGTGTTAACCACAGACACATGATGTCTAAAAACAAGGTGTTATTGGCAGATTGTGTTAACCACAGGCATATTATGTCCATGGTGTTAACCGGTTTGACATTGGCGGCGTCTCAATTCAACATTAGTGGCGTCTCCATAACTTCTCTTTTCGCCTCTCTTAACAGAACTTCTGGTTACATTTCAAAATAAGAGCAACATGACTGGGTAGTGGGGGAGCTAAATGATTGTATTTTTTAATACCTAGCCATAACATTAAAAAACAAAATTCATTTTGGTTGTTGAAAAATGTGAAAATCGTTGCAATCGATTCATAAAGAAAGAAAAATATTAATGATACTTAAAGTGGCCTTGGGACAAAGGAGGTTTCCTTTAACTTCACATTTTGTTCAACCTGCAGTCACTGCAGATGAAACCTTTTAAATCAGTCACTGCAGATGAGTGATTGTCAGTTTCTGTCAGGTTTCTGCAACTGGAGCAGGTATTCTGTTTACTGGTTAACTTCCTCAGCTGTCTCACATTTTAAGGGTCAACCCTACTCCATGTTTCAGCTCCTTTCATAGATCAGATCTCACAGAAGAACTTCTAAAGAGCTAATTTTGTTTTTAGCTTTTGTTTTGGGTCATTATCTCGTTACAGGACTCGTGATCTTTAATTGAGACCAGACTTTTTGGACAAATGGAGCAGGTTTCGCTGCAGATGCTTCACTTTTGGCCTGCAGAGAACCCCTTCTCGTCTTGCCCAGAGACATTTCAGCATGTGACTGCTGGTGGAATCGAACCACCAACTCTTACATTGGAGGACGACTGCTCTACCCACTCAGCCACAGCCGCCCATGTGTGTGGACAGGTGTCTTTTATACTGGTAACAAGTTCAAACAGGTGCAATAAATACAGGTAATGAGTGCAGAGCAGGAGAGCGTCAAACTAACAGGTCTGTGAGAGCCAGAATTCTTGCTGGTTGGTGGGTGATCAAATACTTATCTCATGCAATAAAATGCAGATTTTATTTTATTTTTAATCATGCAATGTGATTTTCTGGATTTTATTTCTTAGATTCTGTCTCTCACAGTTGAAGTGTACCTACGATAAAAATGACAGACCTTTCATTCTTTTTGTAGGTGGGAAAACTTGCAAAATTGGCAGTCTATCAAATACTTATTTTCCCCACTGTGTATATATATTTATATGTATATAATGTATTTGAAAAATAAATAAAAAATAATTTGAAAACTTATAACACAAATGAGATGTTTTAAAATATGCACAGCTAAAATACAAAGTGTGTAAAAGTTGTCGAAATCCAAACAGGAAGACAAATACCGTACTGTTATTTTGTAGACTGGCTAAATGAAGCTAATGCTCAGAAACAAGACAGTGCACTGGTGTGTGAGGTGGTCTGCCAGTCACCAGAAAGGTCATAAACCAGCAGCATGCAACGCCTCACTGTTGTCATGTGTAATGTGTGTGTGTATATATATATATATGTATATATATATATATATATATATATATGTATATATATGTATATATGTATAAAGGCTGCAGCTTTGTGACCATTCCAGAAGCAGCAGCGCGTGCTGTGCGTGCTGAATGAGTGAACACTGGTGTGCTGCAGCTCTTGTTGTGGTGCTTTGCTTGGTTGGTGTCTCTCACATGATCCAGGTAACACAAACACGCCTCGGTCATACAGCAGGATGTACCAGCCTGCAGAGCTCCAGTTTCCAGCTCTGCTCTGGTCCTCCTTACCTTCTGGGAGGCGAACGACTGCGTCCAGTGGTACAAAACCAGCCTGTCTTTGTTGACAGCGTTGGGCTCGGCCGCGGGCTCCTCGCACTCCTCCCCGTCTGTGACTTTGCCGTCCCCGTCCGTGGCAGAGATGGGCCACCAGCTACAGTTGGTGGGGGTAACATGGTTGGAAGACGCCATGACAGAGCGTTTTGTGCGCGTGTCGGAGGAAGAGGAGCGAGGAGGGAGAGAAGAGGAGGGACGGAGGCTGCCACGGAGGAGAGGAGAGGGCTGGGAGGGGGGAGAGGATGTCAGCGGCTCGAGCGCAGCATCACCTGTTCGCGCGACAGCATCATCCGTCCGTCAGAGTGGCCTACAGAACAAAACGCTGCTGCTGCACGCGCTGCGGACGATTGATCACGTGACTGACTGCTGCTCCCTCGTGGTGAATTATTGTTTGCATTTAACACAAATAAAACTTTACAGGTATGGGGTGCCGTTTGTACAGTTACACAGTCAAAAACTAACAGCAATATTTGGCTTTATTTAGCCTTTCATAAGAAAAAAATATTTTTTTCAGTCATATTTTCACCATGTTATACATACATTTATAAATGTCACAGTTCCAAACTAAATATTTAATTTACACGCTAAATAATTAGTTACAAACTAAATACTTAACTTGTAAGTTAAATATTTAGTTCCACATTAAAAAATAAATGTTTACGTCCAAGCTAAATGTTTAATTTACAAACTAAATATTTAAATATTTAGTTAGTAAACTAGATATTTAGGTGTAAATTAATATTTAATTTCCAATCTAAATATTTATTTTCAAAGCTAAAAAAATAATTTCCTAACTAAACATTTAATTCCTAAGATAAACATTTGATTTGCTAACTAAATATTTAGCTTGGACCTAAATATTTATTTTCTAAGCTAAACATTTTAATTTCCAAGAAAAATATTTAATTTGCTAAATAATATTTATCTCAAACCTAAATATTTATTCTCCAAGCTTAACATTTAATTTTCAAAATAAATATTTAATTTGCTAACTAAATATTTAGCTTAGATCAAAATATTTATTTTTCAAACTAAACATTTACTTTCCAAAATAAATACTTCATTTGCTAACTAAATAGTTAGCTCAGACCTAAATATTTAACTTTAAAGTTAAATAATTAGCTCATACCTAAATATCTAGCTAATATGCAAATTCCTTGCCGAAAAGCGGAAATGGACTATCAAAAGAAGAATTGCTTCAATTTTCTCTTATGTACCGTATTTTATCATCATTCATTTCCTCTGGACATGGCAAACTAGCTAGCAAAGAACATCAGACAAGCTGTTCTAATGGGTATACAGTCGTTCACTCCTAGACACATGACACATAAATACATACACGTACACAAATATTTAACTTGCAAGTTAAATATGTAATTACCAAGCTAAATATTTAGCTAGCAAGTTAAATAATTAGGTCTGAGCTAAATATTTAGTTAATTAGTTAAATATTTATTTTGGAAATTAAATGTTTAGCTTGGAAAACAAATATTTAGGTCCAAGATAAATATTGAGTTTGCAAATTAATTTTTTTTTAATTAAATGTTTATCTTAGAAAATAAATATTTAGTTCAGCGCTAAATATTTAGCTAGCAAATTAAATATTTAGTTTAGGAATTAAATGTTTAGCTTAGAAATTAAAAGTTTAGTTTGGAGATTAAATGGTTAGCTTGGACAATAAATATTTAGTTTGGAAATTAAATGTTTAGTTTTAAAAATAAATATTTAGCTTGGAAATTAAATGTTTAATTTACACCATAGGAGTTGCAACCATTATATGTGAAGGGGACATGTCCCACCCACATTAAGAAAACGTTCATTTGCACACACACACCCCCCCCCCCCCACACACACACACACACACACACACACATACACACACACACACACACACACACACACACACACTTTTTCTATGAAACATTAGTTCAGCCGGCGCAGTTTCTCTTTCTTCGTGAATGAATCCATTCCACTTGATTAATAGGAGAATATTCAAGCCACTAAAACTCCACTCCAGGTTTTCCTGGTTACCTCCAACTCTAAACTCAGCAGCTGCTGCCTGCAGTGTTTCTGTGCGTCTCCTCCTGCCTCGGCAGAAAACGCGCACAGGTGGAGGAGATGGAGACACCTCTGTGTTGATCGCTCGCCAGTTTAGCTGCTTAATGCAGGCAGTTGTTGACCGGGGCGTTAATCATAAACATATATTCATGTTAGGAGGATGCTTGAGAGAAGCGCTACATAGCATCTTAACTTAGCAGTAACTGTGACGCTGTAAGACGCTGCACCTGTAAGAGGTGTGTTCAGGTGCATTAAAGTTGAAATATCTTTAAAACCCCACACCTTATTGTCCTCAAGCTTCATGGGAAACATCCTTTAGATGAGTAGTGTTGAACACAAGTAGAAAAGTCTAGTGGTGATCCAACATTTTCAGTCAGGTCATCTGGACAGTTTCTTTGTTTTGTGCTGAAACGTTTCGCCTTCGGTCCGGAAGGCTTCATCAGTCAAGGAAACACAACAAAACTGATTCTTCCCCCAACAGCCTTCCGGATCAAAGGTGAAACGTTTCAGCACAAAAAAGAAACTGTCCAGATGACCTGACTGAAAAATGTTGGATTTTATACCTGGATTATTGAGCATGGACTTTGTTGTTTTCATCAAGTGGTGATGTTTTTTATTTCTCTATAAAGACAAATAGTGCAGACCTGACACTCTGTATTAAAGTGTATTAAAGTTAAAATGTCCTTAAAACCTACAGCTGAATTTACACAAATTTGGTGAGAAACATGTTTTAAATGTGTGGAATTAAAGGAAATCTAGGTGAAATGCTGCTTTTTTGTACATTAGTGCACATTTCTTACTTGCGTGCACATGCACGCACACAAACACATGCGCACGCACACACATTGTGTCACCCCACATTACGGATGCTTCTGACGCCCTTAATTTACACCTAAATATATAGTTCACTAACTAAATATTTAAATTGCAAGTTAAATACTTAGTTTGTAAATTAAACATTTAGCTTGGACATAATCATAGAATTTGTATACTAAATATATCTATCCTTCTACCAATATACCCTCCTCTGGACATGTCCAAACTAGGGATGCACCGATCCACTTTATTCTTTTACTTCCGATCTGATTCCGATCGATCCCAATACCTAAATCTGAGTATCGGCCGATCCTGATCCGGTTCCGATATTATCATTATTATTGATTTTATATGAAGCTGTAATAATCTCCTCTCAGGTACAATTTGTACAAATATATGCATGCATGTCCAAAAAGGCAACTTGAGGTAAGTTTTATTAATGTTGGATAAGTTTTAAAGTTAGAATTAAATTCTGCTAACACAAAACGTGTTGTTGTTTCTTTTTATTCCTAGCTTTAAAATTGATATTAAAGCGATTAATTTAAGTGATTGTTTGTTTAAAGTTTTTTTTTTTTTTTTTTTTTTAAATAAGGGGGAAATATAAGAATTTTCTTCTTTCTGCACTCTTTTCATTCAATGTTTTGT